AAAAAAAAATGTTCGGGAAAACTCACAAACGGTAGCAAAGCAAGGAGTCCTCCTTGGTGCAGAGCTCACTGGCACGCCGTGATAATGCAATGTCATCTCTCCGTCTTTTCCCGTAGCGAGTCAGATGGCAACCCTAGCACAGAAGATGAATCCAGTAAGGGGCAGGAGGATTTATCTCCCCATCCACTCTCCAGCTCATCTGATGGCGTTACCAGCCTCAGCCTTCCTGGCCACATGGAGCCCGTCTACATGCAGCAGCTCGGAAACACTAAAATAGCCTTGAGCTCATCTGGTGTCTTGTTGAATGGAAACCTCGTGCCTGCCAGTACCTCTCCCGTCTTTCTCAACGGTAGCTCTTTTCTTCAGGGACCCAATGGTGTCATCCTCAATGGACTCAGCGTGGGGGCTTCGCAGACGGTTACCTTAAATTCGCCCAAAACCACGTCGAGCGTTGTGAGCAATGGGGTGTCCATTACTGACATACTGTCGTCTTCGTCAGAAGATGTTAAGGACTTCAAACTCCTTCAGGCTTCAGTCCCCAACGCCACAGCAGCCACCTTCAGCCCCAGCAACATCCCGGTCTCATTCCCGGGATTGATACCGAGTTCAGAGGTGAAAAGGGAAAGCGTACAAACTGCTGCTTCCCAAGATGGAGGCTCCGTAGTTACATTTACAACTCCTGTCCAAATAAACCAGTATGGCATTGTCCAGATCCCCAATTCAGGAACAAATGGCCAGCTGCTGAACGGAAGCATCGGTTTTTCTCCTCTGCAGCTGCCTCCTGTTTCTGTGGCAGCTTCACAAGGTAAAAGTTTTATCTCTTACAGTAAGAGGTACAAGAAAAAGTTGAGATCAGGCACACTGAGCGTTTTAGAAGCTGTGGTACTTTTCCTCCAAGGTACCAGGATTGTATCCAGCCACACGCAGTACATCGAATAATACCTTTTGCCTTCCTTTGTAACAGGTTATGCCCATAGGCAGACTTAGATGAGGCTGAGCTCCTCTTCTACTAGGCAGGGAAGGAGATCTGGTATTTTACACCTCTTTTATCTCATACTGTTCTGAGAAGTCTGTGAGACTAGTCTTAACAAATATCCGTAAGTTTTACACGTTTCAGTAATTCACGATATTCCCCATTTGCCACTGAATCCTTCTAATGAGAAGGTTCATAAAAATGAAAATTGCGGCAGCTGGAAATTGTTACCGTTGTTTTTCTTGTGGTGGATGTTTTGTGTTTTTTCTTTTTTAACCAAAGCATTTCATAAAAATAAATTTTAAATGACTATAGACACAACAAGACCAAGCAGTTACACTCATATGTTTTGTGTCCTATAATTAAGAAAGATTAAACTGCAGGGAAACAATAGAAGTATGCAATAGCTCGTGGATATAAAATGCAAGGCTATTTGGATAAAACTTCCCTCAGTCCAAGGGAAATATGTCATCGCAGGTTCACGTGCCAAGTGTGCAGGCTCCTCCCCAAGTTTGCTTTAGAGTTTATCTTAACATACCATAGACTGAAACTTGCGGCCAGCCAGGAAGAATCTCGGGGAATGCAAGGCTAGTTCTGGATTCTTGTTTTGAAGCAGGTCAGTTAAAAAGCACAACTGAACAGCTTTGTTACTCATTAGCCACTGTATCTTTGGTTATGAAAATGATTAAACTTGAATGAATCTCTCTATAATTTCAGGAGTTATGAGGACTATAATGAAAATCAAACTGTGCTCGTGTTTGCTTATTTCAATTAAATGTGTATAGGGAGTTAATTATTCTTGCTGTTAAAGTAATGCAGGGAGGAACACTGAAGCCATACAAACACATTTTAAATGGGTACAAAATTATGAGATCCTAAAATGTGGCACTCGCAGTCACTGGAAGTTATTAGCAAGTAGTTTAACCAAGATGAAAAAGAGAAGACACTTAATCTGAATGCTGCCTGTAATTACGAAAGCCACTTAATCCACATGCTCCGAGGCATAAACTGACAGCTATCAAAGGTGAGAAAGAAAGTTCTGTCCTTAAATGGTGTGGGACTATTGTATTTGAAAGTCCTAAGATTCATAATAAGCTCCTCTCTGAACATTTTCCCTATTGTTAAAAATAGCAATTCCCACTGAAGAGAGAACAACCATATATCTAGTCTGGTGCAGAGAAGAGTCAAGATTCTTATTTACTGCTTTGATTTCTTTTTGTTTTTCTTACCATGAGGTGGATGGATAGCTGGCTGCCTCTTGCAAGTGAAGTGTGCTGCAGGCTGGTTTAAGTAAGCTATAGTAGATGGTATCTTGTTGCCAGGTAACTTCAAGTTGCCTCACTATTCTTCTAGCTTACACATATGAATAACATCTTGCAACAGAAGCCTCTTAAAATTATAATTAAACTGCTTTTGACAAAGAGAGGTGTTTGAAGTGGGACCCAGTCTTGAGAGCCACTATATCTTATTTTAGGAATGATTATAGTGATGAATTACATGGCATGTCTAGTAAAACCAACTTCAGGTCGTCGCTGGCCACTGCTTCATGCTTTTGGTAGCTACAACATCACACAAGCAGCGCCATGGCTTTCAGTGAGGGCAGGTGGTCGCTGGGTGACTTCACACGGGGTGGTGGATGGTGGTAGGGTTAGGTTTTTAGAAGTGTGTTAAAATGAGATGAAAGGCAGTACATCTGAGAACTTGACAGACCACGTTATTAACCTGGTAGAAGTTACTGGGTTTTATGTTTTCTCTGCAAGTTGACTCAGGTAAGCTCTGCCCAGCAGTAGTGGATTTCATGTGACGTGTCTCCAGTTTCCCACACACAAGCTGTAGTCTGTCACTGAACTATCTCTAATGGCTTTTCATGCTTCTATTCTTAGATAGAAATTGAGTGGTGGCAACTAGTGAAGGCCAAAGCACGTTCATTTAGTCACATGGCCAGGGACTGTTTGGCCCTTAGTAAGAGCCTGAAAGATACCTAATATATACTAGAACGAAGCCGTTTCTATTAACAGCTTTTGTTTCTTCATACCAAATTTCCTCTCACCTGTTATAAACAACACAGTTCTGTGTTGCATGATTAGCATATGTGGGTACTGCAAACACAAAAAAATACCAAAAGGTCTTTAAAAACACCTGCACAACTCTCTGCCAACTATAATCTGTGTTTTCCTTTCTTTTGCGTCCCTTTCTCTAGGTAATGTTTCAGTAAGTCCCAGCACATCCGATGGAGGAACTTTTACGACTGAATCTTCGACAGTGCAGCAGGGAAAGGTTTTCTTCAGCCCCCTCACTCCGAGTGCAGTCGTTTATACGGTTCCAAATTCAGGCCAGGCAGTGGGCTCTGTCAAGCAGGAAGGACTGGAAAGAAGCCTTGTGTTTTCTCAGTTGATGCCAGTCAGTCAGAACACGCAACTAAATGTAAACATGTCTTCTGAAACCATATCCAGCGGAGGACTCCAGTCCCTGGCTTCCTCGTTAGTGAATGTAACGCCCTCACATAATTTTTCCCTCACACCACCAACTCTTTTAAATGCTGCAGAACTGAGCTCTGGTATCTCGGAGAGCCAGTCCATGTCATCGCCCGTGACCAGTACCTCTACCGTGATATCTATCAGCAACACTAACTATGCAACCCTTCAGAACTGTTCCCTCATTACCAGTCAAGATCTGTTGTCCATTTCTACAGCACAGCCCGCGCTTGGAGAAATAGTTTCTGCAAGCGGAGACCGCGTCAGCCACCCCTCTACACAAGTACATCAAGATTTTGTCAGAGAGCACAGGTTAGTTCTGCAAGCCGTGCCTGATGTCAAAGAGAATTTCCTACCTAATTCCGAGAGTAAGTCAACTGGCAATTTAATGATGCTGGATTCGAAATCGAAGTATGTTATGAGTAGCATGGTTGACACAGTTTGCGAAGAACTGGAAACAGACAAAAAAGAACTTGCCAAACTGCAGACAGTTCAGATGGATGAAGATATGCAAGACTTGTAACTTTTTTTTCCTTGCTTTCTGTTTTAATAGATAAGTCTCCTGTTGAGGCCCTAACAAGCACCAAGTGGGTTGGTTGGGTTTTTTTTGTTTGGTGGGCTTTTTTTTTTTTCATTTAAAGAAAACAGAAGAACATTTAAATGGTCTGAATCATCATGTACAGAGGAATCTCTGGCAATGGAATTAGGTTGCCACACTTGGTTTGCATGCAGTATTCTCTTTTAAGCAGGTTAAAGGAGAAAGGAAACGCCAGGGCAAGTACCAAGCGAACGCATACAGGTTTGGCTAAGAGATACTACCCTGATAATTTAACTAAACTCTCCATAGTACAACATACTCTCAACAGTAAGTATACACTCCTAACTTTAGATAGAAAACAAAAATGTCGCTCCAAAAAGGTAGAAACAATGCAGTCATTTTTGCTGTTTACTTTTAGTCCATGGGCATTGAGAAACTTTTAAGGAACTCTAGACGATACCTCACCGGCTACTTTTATGTTGTTTGAGGTTAAGGAATGAAACAAAATCGTAAATAATATTGTTACTGGTGTGTTTGCTTTTTTCCAGCAGACTTGCGTTCAAACCAAAAATCTCGCATCAACATTTACCCGGTTTCTAAATGCTACAGCTAGCATTTTGTCAGTACAACACAAAAAGCATCATTCGAAACTCTAATTATGCAACTCAGAAACTTTCTCTCCAGTATGAATGTAAATATTGTTTCAGTTCTTATAAAGGAGACTTTTTTTTTAAATTAGTACAATGGATTTTATTTATGGTTTATGTTCCCTTTCACTTTAGACACAATGCATTGAAAAGGAAAACGTTTTCTGGCTGTTTAATTTATTTTTATTGTTTGAGCAGGAAGTAAACGTAGTTATTTCTGACAAGGTTTTACTTTTTTGTAGTTTTTCAAGCAATAGACTGTAAAAGTTAAAATGTTAATCACACTGAAACTAGAAAATGAACTCCCAGTCTCACAAACCCAGGAGGTCCCTGTCTCTACCCCCTCTGTCTCTGTGTTCAGGGGTTTTTTGTTTGTTTTGTTAGTGATTTGCGAATTAGTTGAACTTTTTGTGTATTTTTTACAGAATTCCACGTGCCTTTCTTCCTAGTGGCCTTATCTTTGTTACTAAAGCACAGTGGCAGGAGGAATAAACACACTGATTTGCAAATATCCGTCCTCAGGGCCAAATCCTGATGCCTTACTTCTGCAAGTAGACCCACTGACTTCAGTGCCCCTACTTGCACGAGTAAGAAGAATTTTAAGTCTTTCAGTCGTCGTGGGTGACATTTACTAGCGGTGCAGAGAGCCAAAGATAGGTCCTTCTGCACCACATCAGCAGAGCAGGAGGAGTCTAGAGAGGGACCATGGGCAGAGCCGTTGTCGTGCTGAGGGAAAGGTCTTGGCTCCAGCCTCGGGCAGATGAGCAGGAAAGGTTGGATGGGCAGGCCAGGGAAGGGAGCCCCATGTTTACACGGACCCGTTGGCCAAATAGCCCGTGTGGGAGGGCTTCAGCTGCTCTTCAAGCAAGCAGGCCCCGATCCAGGAGTGCACTTAAGCGTGTATTTATATATGCTTCCAGAATAAGCAGCATGGGGGCTGGTGGTGGGAACTGCAGCTGCCCGAAGAGCTTGTGGGAGCAGCCACCGTCTCTGCCTGGCTGGGGATGGGTCTCCTCTCCCTTCGCCCCTTTGCGCTGCGCCAGGGACAGCAGAAGCAGGCAGCCTCTGGGCGGGTGGAACAGATCTTACCTTTCCTCCAGAGGAGTTTTTGTAGCATGGAAAAAGCACATCCTGAAGCTTTAAAATAATAAGAAGAATGCAGATGTATAAAAATGACATGCTGTTAATCTTTGTGGTTTTGTTTTGTTTTGTTTTGTTTTTATTCTAATGTGAATATATACAGTAACTAAAGCATGTATTCATCCTCACCAGGGGCCTGGTTCGAAGCCTTTGGAAGGCAATGGGAAATGTTTTCTTAAGTTTCTGTGAGCTCTGAATCAGGCTCAGGACAAAACGAGATCACTTGTAAAGGACAAAAAAAAAAGAAAGGAAAGAGAATAGAGGTAGCGCATCCCAGTCTGTTTCTGTCTTGGTTGTTAACTGGTTCTGCGGAAAGCCTTTGAGGAACTAAAGGTTTTTTCTGCACCGCGAGCATGGCATAGGCATCCTTGCTATTGTTTTGCACTATATTGAGTACAGTGTGTTTTGCAAGGTGGAACCTCGAAGCTGAGCTCTGTCAGTAATCATCAGAGTCCACGCTGCGAGCCAGTCTCTAGGGCTGCAGGGAAAGGGAGGAGCAGGCGTGCAAGGCGTGCACTTTGCCGCTCTACCGAGTCACTGACGCTCTGCAAACAGAAGCTGCCCATAAGCAGTTGGCTGTCCCGACGTCCTCCCAAGCAAAAAGGGTATTTAAGGCAAGCGCTTTAAAGTGGAGATGATCACAAGCAGAACGTGGAGCTGTATGTTCCCCTGGCACAACTTCCCTTGACATTCAGGGGATCTCCGTATAAGCAGGGAATTGGGTAGTCCAGAGTTCTTCTCTCTGCTCTGCTTGTTTATCTGTTTGCTGGGCTCCAGCATGAGCAATCTGCTTCCCACCTCTTCTTCACCCATAAAGCCAGGATGACGATGACGATAACACTAGGCTGTATCTGCTTTGCATGAATTTGTTCAACTGTTTGGAAAATTAGAAGGACCCTGTATCATTGTCATATTAACGGAGAACGCGTGCGTGGCTCTGAAGGAGTTGTTTGCGGCTTAACGTTTCGTTTGCGAAGCGCAGACTATATTTGGAGGCAAGCTGGAGAGTATTTCAGAGCAATCTGTCAGTCGTTGACGCGATCAGGTCTCATAACTGAAAAGACTGTGGTGTTACACCAGTACCTGTTACTTTTTAATTCTTCCTCCTTTGCGTTTGTGGTGTTACTGAGGCTCTGAATTCCGTGGCTTTGCAGCACAGTTGACTTGAAAACTGTGTATGTTGTTACAGCAGCGCGTATCTTGGAGTGTCTGGTACTTGTAATAGGAGACTTCCCACTCTTCAGTGGGAGCGGAGGATGTACATAAAAGCAGTGGTTTGGGACAAAGTAAGATTAATCTATTCTAGTCTTCCAGATATCGAGTAACTTATTTCATTATTATGTTTTACTCTTTCTTTCTCCCATTGAAAGTAAGTGTCGTTCCCTCCAGATAACGTAGTTATAACCTCATGTTTTCTGCAGGTACATATGCACAATATAAAGACTCATTGCACGGTACAGTGTTTTTAAAATAGATATTTAAATAGTAGTTTTACTCCTACTGTAAAATAAGGGTCAGTTTTTATTATGTGGCCCTCAAGCAAGCAGGCTAACTGCTCTAAATAGACAGTACACAAAGTCCTAAAAAGCGTCTGGGGCCAAATCTTTGGCTGCTGTAAATAATGCATTGCTCCACTGATTCCCAAACTGAGGATTTTACCTGGTGTTGAGGCAATACGGATGCTCATCTCCGACACACGTGAATGGCAGTGAGTATCCAAGCCCCACAGACAGTCCTTATTATCACGTTCTGTCGTTTAAGTGGAAGGTATGTCTGTCTGGCATACGTGTTCCTTCTCATCCCTCCGTCTCTGTCATGGATGAGAATAAAGGATCATTTCAACTTCACATATGTTTGTAAGTCCATTGGAAACCTTACAGGAAACATTGCCAAATTCTACTACTTTTCTGGTCCCAGACTCAGCTTTGAAAAATACGCTTGAAGTTTAAGCAAATTCCTACAAAGCATGATGTTAAAAAAAACCTCCTTCATTCTTTACTACTTTTAATCGAAGCTGCCTCTGTTTTGCCCAGAGTTTTGCAGAGAACCAGAAGTTCAGAGTACACTCAGCTGAATGCTCTGTCCGGACTATTTGCAGCATTATTCCTGTGGTCTTACCTAAAAGAACATTTCAGCCACATAAATCACGGACGTCTGTCGGCCAGGTCCTTGGCTGGGCTAAACTAGCACAGTTCCCTTGACTTTAATGTCCTTTCACACCAGCCGAGAATATGGTCCGTTCATTTCACTGGAGTGGGATCAGGGGCGGATTTGGCCCAGTATACGGTGGCAGTATGAACCAGTGCACAAGGCTGACACTCAGACAGTTTGAACTGAACGGTCACAGTCTATCGAAGCATATACCTCTTTCCATTTACTCCTTTACCCTGCCTGTGGATTCAGGAAGACGCGTTCAGAAAGCTGCTTTACCCAGAAGTAAGGCTGGAACCATCTTTATTGTTTTTCCTTACCAATCCGAGATTAATGACAACAATGGACAGATTCTGACTTCACGTCCTGCCAAATCACCTCAATGACTATTTTCAGCTAAATTAAGCAGGACGGAATTTGACCCCATGTGCACAAGAGCTTTACCCACGTAAGATGTCCAGTGCCTGTGCGCTTTTCTTGGCAAGGGCAGATGAACAGCCAGGAGGGTTCATCCCTCCGGTTTCTTATGAAATAACTTGTGCAGGACTCGCAGGGCCGTGAATCGCCTAGTGCTTGTGGTCGAGAAGCGTCTCAAATCATGAAAAGAATAGGAATTTTGTAACTCTGGAAACAAAAGTAATGACATTTTACAAGCAAAGAGACCTGAAGTCTTCCTGTATCTCCTAGCAGTTGTTATCTTGAAGGATATTTTATACCTTACTTGTATGTTTCATATAATTTAAAACTAGCTTCTTACATTTCTGAACTCAAGGAGGGAGTGAATCTTCTGACTTTCAGGATTCACATTCAGAAGATGTTTGTTCTTTTGCTGCATGTACTGTTTGTCCAGAACTAGCCAGTTATTTCTGCGTTATGGGTTTATTGTGCCTTACAATATGAAACTTAAGCGGAATGTACACATTAGAGGAGGGAATAATCAGAAGTCTTTACTGCACTGTTAGATGATGCTGCCCCAGAGTGTATCATCAAACATATCTGTGCTTAATTACCCAACCAAAGAGATCTAAAGTATGTATGTTTGTTGTA